ATTTCTGACAATAAAAAGAACAGAATATAGAAGCCTCACGCCAATAAATGTTGTCTTGGAGTTTTCAAAAAATGAGCAATGATACACTTATGATCATATCTGTCATCTTTTTTTTAAACAAGATCCTAATGAAAACAAGTAACTGTGGTGCCACACATTTACAAGTAATTTGCTTTCAACATTCATTTGAGATCATTCACTGTATCATCCATACTTTCCCTGAATACTCTCCTAGCATCCACCAGCTTGTAGCTGAGGGACATCTTGAGGCAGAAGCAATGTTTGTGAATTTAAGAAATCTCAGCAGATTTGTCTTTCACGAACTTGTCTGGTCTTTCCTTGTATTAATGGGAAATTTCAACATCCACAACCTCCTGTGGCAAGAGGTTCCTTAGCTTGAACCCTAACTGCATGAGGAGCCAGTTCTTTTTAATCAGCACTCAACAGAGGCACTTTGATGTCTCTCAGGTCTTGTTTCAGAAAACATAGTGACAAACCTACTTCCTTACTTCATTCTACGCAAGATTTTATAAACCTTTATTATGTCCTGCCTAAATTCTCCCAAACTAATGATGGCCAGCCTACTGAATTGACCCTGGTTTGGAAGCCAGGTTGTCTCCTGAACCTTCAATTCTACTGTATTTTTCTTCAGAGATTTTAAGAGACCAGAACTGCACACACACCCAGCATGATCAAGAACTTACACAGCTGCATAAGAATACTTCTTAATTTATCTTGTATTTTTTTCCTAATAATTCCTAACAGTGTTTCCTTTTTTGATCCCTACTGAACGTTTAGTTAATATTTTTATGGAAATATCTATCGTTACTGTAGCATCTTGTTTCTGGGCAATAATAGCCATCTCAGAGGTTATCATTTTGTATGTGAAGTTACATATCTGAGACTCACAAACCAGAATTTAGAAGAACTTATGCTCAATGATTTTGAGGTGAATCCTGTGCTGGTCTAGAATGTTTTCCATCCAAAAAGAACTCATGAAGACAGAGAAATTTGATATGTAATTCTCATTTAAGCATAACAATATTTATCAGTAATAACTATACATTTGTCCTCTAGTATTATAAAATTAAGGTCAGTTTCAAAATGAACTGAGTTGAATCAATGAAATGCCAATACAAAGTTAAGTTAAACTGCAGGGCTTAGCAGTCATGATTTTCTTTTGCCTGGCTGAGTAACTTCCTCAATCTTAGTAGCAGCTCTGCAAAAAATTAGGTATACATAATGAAAGAACCCAAAACAGGTTCACAAAAATATATATCTAAGCAAGCAACAAAATGAGGTTGAAATATATAGCTTAGAGCATGATAAAACCCATAATGCCTTATACAAGATGTGTGTTCAGATCACTTACCTCTCCTACTATCTCTTTTTATTTTATTGGGGTCTTCATAGTCCCCCACCCAGTTATATTCTACTGGCATAGAAATAGGCCTTAGTTTCCCTGGAAACAGAGGAAAAAATTGAGATGATGCACCATAAGGCAGCATTAAGCTAACATTCTTTAGAAGAAAGAACAAATTATTTGCTAAGCTGCTATTCTAACAGGGTTGCTTATGAAAGAGGATCCAGCACTGCCTCTGAACAAGAGGTTAGGATAGGAGTTCTGTTTTTTTTTAACAGACAAGAGCAGCTAAGTATTTAATGGATTTTTTTAAGTTTAGAAAATAAATCCAGTGTCCTACAAAATCATCAGCGAACTGACGTTTGAGACTGACAAATGCATTCAAATTACTTTAGTTTTCACTGAACCATATCTATTTATTATTCTGGAAGCCCCTGGCACACACATGGAGAGAACTGTTTTAAAGCATACGGGAATTGCTGGTAACAGAAACGTGTCCACATCACTAAAGTACCTTCACAAATAGCATCTTTGCTGGTGGGCTTAAAAGATCCATCAGTGACGGAGTAAGAAAAGAAGCAGAAAATCTCTACATGTAATTTCTTTCGTAGCATTTCATCCACAAAAAGCGAAGTACATCACTATTGATAAATTTACTTTGATTTCAGACAGCAAGAGAGAAAATTTGAAGACTATTATATCTTTTAAATTTTGATTAGGAAGCTGCTGAATTGATTTTAAAAAATACTGTGAACTATGATTTCTGCTTAAGAATTCCACAAATATAGTTGGAAATACAGTGAAAATGTGTTATGTACTTAGTGGAAAGTGATCTGAAAGTGACCTGAAGTTTTTAGCAAGTTAAATAGAATATTGAAATAAAATATAGAGTAGCATAGCATATGGCACAATATCTGGCAGACTGAAAACAAAACGTTTTCACAACGAGGTCAGCCCTTGCTTTTTTTTGAATCGATCTACTGTCCACAAAACCGAAAAGTGGGAAAATAATTTGTTTTTAAAAGTAGTGGAGCTTAAAGTAAAAACTTCAGAAGTCTTGTTAATATTTCAGTAGAAAACCCCTACATAAAGGTGATCGGTCTTACGCCACATTTTTGAGGTTAAATCCATGATATGCTGGAAAAGAAAGACGTGTTTATAATGAAAATAAATATTCAAACATGTCTATCTACCTATTGAAGTATGGCATCCATGGGAAATACACCAACACCACGCAGGCAGCACAACAGTAAAAGGTTGTAGAGTCTTTTTAAAAAATTTACAAAAAAAGGTGTATGTTTTGTACAGATCACAGGATCAGGTCACAAATACATCATTGCTCAGGAAATACAACATACATACTTAACTTGCATTTTATAATATATTTTACTATTTATGGACACATATTTAAGTCTGATTGAAGTCAGTGAGATTTCGAGCATGCAGTTCAGAAGCCATTTCCTGAGTGGGGATGTATTTGGCTCATGCTTAATTGCTCAGAAGTAAGTTTCAACGGTTACTTTTTCTAGAAATGCAACTTTCTCTTCTTTGTGAGGCTGATCTCACAGGATCTTACTGAAAGGACCTGAACACTTAAAAAGATACAAAAGCTACAAAATCATGTAAAGTCTGATTGTTATCGAAAGCCATAGCCATAATAAAATTTCTACAAAATCTCTAGCTGTTCGAAGTGCATGTTTTTTGTATCTGGCTGTAAAAGTGTAATGACCATATTTGTTTTTTTCCTTAAACTCAAGTTTCATTTGCCTGCTACCTCTGCTAATCTCCTTCTTATCAACCCCCATAGATTCCCTAAATCTGTTTTCCCTCGTGGCTACACTCAGAAAAATTTCTTCCTTGGGATGTGAATAGAAGCTTTCCAAGGCCAATTAGCAACAATTACACAACAGCTGGAAGCCAGTAAGAGCATGAAAGAGAAATCTCGTTGTTAACATTGTCAAAAAATTTCAGGAGATTCCAGTAAAGAAATTATGGAGAGCCCTATTAACCTCTCACGAAGGAGGATTGAGAATTATTTAAAAAAAAATAGCACCATCACATAATTAATGATGAGTACATGCTGAAAACAATTATTCCTCTAGGCCTTGGAACTCTGTTTGACCTTCTTTAATGGGTCACCATAAGCCAGAAGAGCGTTATTGTCATTTCCCAGATTTCTGTGAAATCCTAAGGTCATGCCTAGCCCCAAATCTTATGCTAACAAATGCCATGTGGGAAACTTTAGAATTTAATGCTGAAATGGCAATATTTTTAAAAAATACACTTAAATGAAAATGGATTTGATGGTGTGAATTCATTAAAAAAGAAGTGAGATCAAAAGTGAAAGGCTGTATAACAAATGTGTTAAATAATGACTGATTTTCAGTGCAGTCTTTGATCCATGTATTTATAACCCTTTCTGCTAATAGTAAAAAAGGCTAAAAAGGCTATCCTGTAACAAAATAATGGATTCAACAGTCCTTGAAGAAGAAATGTGCTCTTCACTCTAGACCACCAGTATTAAAATTAAACATCTGGAACAGAAAGTACATCTCTGTTAATGGATTGGCTGCATCCACCAATCATAACAGTTGAAATACTGGAGTAATAATATTAATAAATCCACTTCAAAAACTTCGTAGTTATTTTGTACACTGCAGAAATGCTTAGAAAACACACGAAAACACTTTGAAATCAAAAGGATACTGAGGATTTTGCAGCAGGATTGTGTAGTTGTATAGAAAGGGTGCACTTTATGAAAATGTATCCTTTAATGTTGTGCAAGGACATTGCTCCAGGTCCTGAGGATACTTTACACAGCTCAACCTCAATTTATATCAAGGTTCCCAGGTGATTTTGGAGCTTGGCTGCATGATGTACTAAATCTACACTTCCTCACAAATTAAGTCTATCTTCTTCTCAAAGGGATATGACGTCAGAATTACTATAACCACTGCAACATAAACCTCTGCTCAATTTAAAAATTGAAAGCAGCAAGTAGGATGAAAAAATATTCAAGTGTGTGCTCAGCTAATAACACAGTAGTAAAAATATCTTTTTTAAACATGAGATTTCCTCTTAATTTTCTTCTATATCATAACAAGTCTATGACAGCACAATTTTATACCTGGCAACAGAAAACCAATTCTCCCAGTTCAAAGATGAAACAAGTTACAATACTAGTTAAAGGAAGAGTTCCAAAAGATTCAAAGGGGAAATAACCTGGAACATAAAGGTTTGAGGAGCAAAACTCTCACCAGAAATTGTTTATGAGTTCTCAGCCTAAATAAGTCAAAATCCAAGATGTTAAAGTAACATGAATACACATGTGTGTTTACATGCAAAATTATTTCTTAGACAACATATAACTTTGAATAAAGAGGAATTACTATATATAGGAACTCATCAAAGCATACTATCATCAGTCATACTTCATTTCTGGGACTAAAGAAAAATTGAAGTTTTAGAGACGAGTGTAGCATAAAAGTAGCATGTCGTCTCTTGGTAAATCTGAAGCGGCTCTGATCTTTAAAACTATTATACCTGGGTAAATTTTCCTCATGTTGAATTCCTAAATCTATGCAAGTCTTGCCCTTATACTGGGAGAACAATTCCATCCTGTATTTTTAGTAAAAATATATGGGCTTCTGACAGGTTTTTTTTATATAAAATGATACTAAAGCATAATCTAGAAAATCAATCTGGTAACAAAATTATAGCACTTATATTCAGAAAAATCAGCAATATAAAACTGGACTTGCCTTCCCTATCATAGTAATTAATTTTTTCTTGCACAGATAAGTTCTTACTCTGTTGAAACACGACTAAAGTAGTACAGAATTCTTAAGAAAATCAATGGTCACCAAAAATATTTTCATGATTAAAACCAAAACCAGATGCGCAAAAATCCTAAAATCAACAAATGGTGATTATCTTTATTAGATCAATCTCATACCATAAGTCGGTGTGCTCTCTCTCCTTCCAGGACCACTTGTTCTTCCTTTCTCATACTCATAGCAGTATAAAACTGCATCTTCTTCAACCACATTAAAGCGTTTTCGATATTCCTGGTCAAGAAATGAGTTTGGAGATTCCGAGCCTGTATGAACTGGCTTGCCCACTATATGTCTGCCAACATCATCACATGGGAGATTTCCCTTTTCATCCCTTTAGTAAACAAGAGAAGTTTTTAATATATTGGTATAAAACCTTTTTTTTTGTTTGTTTTTACTGTGAATATTTCAATAAACGTGGAAATGATTCAATATTTCATACAAGCAGAAAACAAATGCCATTGACCAACATCAGGATCACACATCATATGCATATGTATACGTGTTCATGCCAGTTATCTCACACATCTTTACTTATTCAATTCTTTTACAGATTATATCAATCTTATTGGTTTCTCTTGAAAAGGATCATAGAAATAAAGCTGATGTGCACCTACACTTTTTTTCTTTTTTTTTTTTTTTGAATCTACCTAGCATTTTGTGATTTAGGGCAGAGAAATAATGTTGACCTTGCCTTCTTATACTTGCATTTTTAAATACATCAGATAGCTTAAGACATGGCTATATGGCAAGCGTGGACAAATTCAATCTGGTTCCTCACAAACTAATCCCAGAGCAAAAAGAACCAGGGACCGATGATGTACAGACATTTAACAGAGTCTTGTACAATCAATTCAGGACTAGAAGTTGTATAGGTACATCCACAGAGTACTAAATAGGCTGTCTAGCACTTATCATGAGCTGCAATCCCAGGACAGCAATGCATTGCACGGCAGGCACTTTGCAGTTTGTGTACAGATCCCCACGACGATTGCTTTTTCCTTCCCAGCACCCCTGCCCCACTCTCTGAAAATGCAAACTACTCAAAGGCATAAAACGAGAGCCAGCTGTGCCTGGGGCAGGAGCCCTCTCCTTGAACGAGACGAAGCAGGGCTCAGTTAACCTGCTGGTAGGACTGTGCCTAGAGATGGCTGCAAAAGACCCAATCGGACAGTGATTTCTGGGCATCAAAGCACATGGGAGGCAGCCAAGAGAGAAGGTGAGGGCTCATGTTCTTGTTGGAGTGCTTCTGCCCCTCTGGACTGCCATGTGAGTTACAAACTGGCCAGCGTGCTGACCTATACCTCCCTCGGCACACTGAGACTCTGAGGACGAACCAAAGCCTCCTCGTGGGATCCAGGCAGCCAAGGAGGATGAGAAAGGGCCATCCTGCCTTGGCTGCAACAGCGCAGCACCACGAACCCCCTCTGACCACTACGCTTGCTTTGCCAGGCTGCTTTCCCAGAGCAGGGATGGTGTTGGCTTAGTGAGGGGACCGGGGCTGTGAGCTCATCTCCAGTCATGGAAAAGACTTTCTGCGGTGACAGTCCTGGGGGACCCCAGCAGGTAACATGATGGAGACTGACATAAAACAGCCAGATGTTAATCGGTGCTGCAGTTACCACCAGGGCTGGCGCAAGGAAGCCTCCGTGATGAGGGCAGCCTGAGTTGGAGAGATCTTTACTGTGAGCATGGAGAGAAGTGCAGAGCCACCAGGCAAGCGCCCTCTGCCACAGCCCTCTGGAGCTGAGGGCTTCAGTTCTCATCCCCAAAGATATTAGACAAATTTGAGCAGGTACTACCTTTTGACCAGTACTTCTAAGTAATCAGCACATGGAAAAAGTGTTGGTCCCTCTTTCTCACGCCAGGTTACATCAGCAGATATACTATTTGTGGGTTTCATCACCAAGGCTTCAGGGTTTTCCTTTTTATATCAAAATATCAAGTCTTCTACTCTATTCCAGTAACAAAAGGAGGGTCTGTTTGTTTGGGTTTTTTTTGCCTTGCAACGGCAACAACAAACTGAGAAACAGACGCTGAACAGTTTCATAATACCCGAAATAAAGACATGGTTAAATATAGTTAATCATAGACAAAAAAAAAAAAAAACCCTGATGAAATGCCAAAACAGATTATTCAGAAACATTGTACACTATGTGACAGGTTTGTGAAATGAAGTATAGTCCATTAGGATTAAGCTGATAAAAAAAATTCAAATGTACATAGCTTAATCTCTCTGTAAGATTACATCTTGTACTAATATGTATTAAAAGATTTAAACAGAATTAGTCCAAACTACTGCATATCATCATGATTTAAGAAATGATGAATTAATAAAGGACGAAAATATATTTTGAAGATCTTGATTTCTAAAGCAGAACTCAAAAACTGCTGAGCTGTGAATATTCACTAAAAATACTTCCAAAAAGAGCATGCATTTCTTATCAAAGTACTTTTGTGGTGGTAAACATGATCAGTAGCAGCATGAAGGCACTACTTTTAAGATAGTACAGGTTCAGTTTTGGGAGTAACAGGTCTTTACCATGTAACTACTGCATTCAAAGAGAAACCTAAGTCTATGTTTTGGTTGGGGTTTCTTTTTGCACCTTTTTTATGTTAATGGGCTAGAATTAAACACTTGATTTTTTCTGTGGATTTTCTGAAAACCATGTCCTTAAAATATTTACATAGACATAACAAAATACTGTTATCAGAGAGATAAAAGATACATTCAATCCCCATAAACAATTCAAGTGTCATGACTGACAATGTTCTTATTTAATTAGAAGAAAAAAAATCAGTGAACTATACTATGTATTCTGTTTGTCTCTTTGTCACTTTAAGACAGATACTAGAGTAATTGTGTTAGCAAGTTCCACTGTGTTATATATGTCACATTTGGAATAAAATGGCTTTTTTTTTTTTTTTTTTTCAGAAATTAAAACCAAACTGGGTAACAGACAAGGCAGGGATGAGGAAGGAACATGAGACTCAGCTTATAGCTACACAAAAGGATTGTGACATCATCTAAATCATGAAGTGGAAAGTCACTCTTTTGCCCTGGAAGGTTTTTCATATGTCTGAAGAGTAAGAATTTATCATAGAATCACAACTCGTCCTCCTCACTAGGCAATTTAACTTGCCATCTACCTCTCTCTTGGATAACCCCCAGGAAAGTCTTGTCAGTATCAGGTCATGCATCTTATTAATTCGCCAGAAGATTTACTGATAAGAAAGTCTAAGAAAAACTCATCTACAAGAAACTTGGGTACGAGAAAAGACATGCTGCCCTTACAACGTTTCCAAGAAAGTTAACTAAAATAAAAGCAAGAAGTAACTTAAAAATACATTGACTGGACATATGATAGCCTGTGTCTAAGAATATGGAAGCTTTAAAAATACTGATTCTTCTTAAATACATTTCTAGACTTCTGGCTAGCTACTTCCATGTTATTTATAGGCCATAATTCTCTCAGAATTTTAGGAAAGCAACATCTGTGTACAGTATGGAATTATACTGAATCATTTGAGGTCATGTGAGGGTAGGGTGATGAATCTGTAAGGAGGATCTGCTGCTTTTCTGGCTCAGCAAGCCCAGAGACCTAGGAGAGATAAAAACGCCTGTTCCAGGTGGCAGGTCAGAGTAGCAGATATATTTACAGGGAACACCATGGTCACTGCAGAATGCAGCAGAGTGGCCAAAACGCAATCCTGAAATTTGCTCTAACATTATCAAATCAAATATATCTAAAAAATAAAACGCTATGGCAGAACAAAACAGTGCTCTTGTTGAAGTCGAAAGTTTCTTGCTTTTAGCTCATCCTTCCTTGTTGCATCATGGTTATTAGGCAAGGCAAGAGACACAAACTTTTTTCCTAGTTATTGATTCAGAGTTTCAGAAAATTTTTGCTCTTCTGAAATAGGATGAGACTATTACAGACAATAGACTACCCCGTATTTGAGAAAATAGGGTACTGAATCTTCTTTTCTAAAGGCTATTGTCTGTTTTGCAGACAAGACACTGATTTAGATTATTGTGGGTCTGATTCAGTATATCTACCCTTAATAACCAGTTCACCTGCAAAATGAAACATTATCAGCCTAATCCTGCAGGGCAGGCTGATAAATGGGTAGGAACAGAATGGTCAGTCACTTTACATATATTTTTTGCATTGAGTTGCACCTGAAACGATCTTTTTTACCTTGGAACATAAGGTTCTGTTGGAGGAGGGGGTATGTAAAGATCCTGAAGGGCAGAGCTGTCTCTTTTTGTAGGTGTGCTGATAGTGCTGGATGGCGTAGCAACACTGCTTGTAGGACTTCTAGGGATAAGAGGCTGGTTCAAAACAATAGAGAGAAACAATCAAGATTATATAGCATACATTTTTGTTTGAAAAAGTTATAAAAATTCTATAGTTCAGAAAGTTAAAGAAATAGTTAACGATTCTAATGTTTATGTGCTTTTAAACTGACAAACACTCATGCTAAGGAGATAGATCTACGGATGGACGTGTTTTGTGCTTAGAAAATTGACTCTTCTGATTCTACCTTTTTCCCTTTTGCACAGCAAGATTATTGCCAATGCCCATAAAAATAGTAATCAGTATCGCCACTGGTGAAACCGTAATGAGTAAATAACACACAGAATTCAGTGAATTCCTTAATTAAACTAGCATTGTAAAGAAAAAGTCTAGTGTTTTCAGTAAAAGGTGCATAAGTAGGCATTAAATTGAATGCCATCTCCCCCCCATCTGCTCTAGAGCTTAAGAATTAACTGTAAAAGCTTCAGTTTATGTCTGCAGATGTTGTAAAATCAGGCACTGCGTCCTCAGAGAACATGCACTATGAGACAGAATAAACTGGAAATTATTATTTTTCTTCAGGCCCCTGGGCACAATCCTGACAAACTAACATTTACTTTAAATGGTAAATAATTTGTACACTCCTTACAGAATAATCATGCATTCTAGCTATCATTCCAGTCCAAATAGGATTCATCCTCTTAGTCACATCTCTCTCTCGTGAATTAGGCACTCCTTTTTCTTCCTCAACTTAACTATCTTGGCTAGGCAAATAATGACCAACCACTTGAAGACTTTATTAAATCACTATAGGGCTGGAAATTATAGCAAGATTTTCTAACAGTCTCTATACAGATGCGGAAAAATTGAATAAGAAGAAAACTTTGATTGCTTTAGTCTACTTAATAACATGTCTACCTAATAACAAAAGTCTTATGCTGCTTGGCTTGTGTGATAGCTAAACTCAAGCAGAAGAAAAAGAAAAATGACAAACCAGCAAGTACAACAGTATCTCCATATACCCTAAAATAAATCTAATACTAAAAAATGCTGAGTTTTACTCTGAAAGAGGTCCTTCCCCTTCACCTTTTTGGAAGTGAACTCCTTAAAGAAAGAAGTGTTGAGATTAAAGAGAGTTCACCATACCTACAATTTCTGACCTAAATAACTACTGGAGGACACAAGCATTTCACATTGTATTGATGGCAGATGAAGCTCTAAATACTGACTGAACGGGTGCGCAGAAAGATCCTTCTGCCAGCACTATTAAGAATACTTTATGACAGACCAAGAGGGCATTCCTGTGCAGAATAATCAGTTCCCATTTTCTAGATATTAATCTTGACACTGTAGCATTATGCCTATACTGCAGAAAATCCCAAGAGTTCAACAGCAGGAACTTTTTCAAAATGTTAGCCTTTCACAAGCTAGTGATGAGACATTCGAATTTACACTTATCAAGCAAAGCCCCCACCATTTTGTGACTTTTTTTCAATCTGTATGTAAGAATAATGCATGCCACCCAGGAAACCTCATCCTTTAGCCAGTTACTGCCTTGTTTTAGGAACAGAGCTGTGTTAGATGTTATTTATCTCAAACATAAGAAAAATCTACGTTTAAAATTTTCTTGTTAAAACTTTGCAAGTCCACCTTTAGAACAACAGCTACAAATTGACACGTTTTCTCTTTTTGAATGTTAGAAAATCATCTCCTGTAAACAGTGATACTGCTAAATTCTTTCCTTGCTCATTAGAGTTAATGTGAGTATTCTACAGCCAGGCTAATGAAAGATTGCCAGTATTTAGAGGAAGAGAGGGAGAAAGACACAGACACAAAACCAGACAGGTAACAGATTTTACAACCACTAAAAACAAGACAACAAAGTTTGCAAAAATAAGAATAAAGTTGGTGGCAAAACTGGATAAAAACCAAAAAAACCCTCCATCTTTCAGAGAAACAAAAACCTTATCCTTTAAATTTTGACCTACGACACTATAGACATAGATGTTCTTGAACCACTTAGTAATACAACAATGGTTATTTCCTTTCGGATATCTTGCACTTGTATGACAAGTACACTTTGTGGCTTGCTGAGTAGCTTGCAGAATTTACATTGTAATGAAAATTACAAGACCCTGTTTACAGTTGTTAAGCCCAGGCTGTTTTTCATGGCTCTTACTGGCAAGAACACTGAGAGGAAGACCCTGCATCAATCTTAACCCCCAATGACAAACACAAAATCCGTATTTTAACACATTTTGGAGTAGTATTTCTCAAACATTTTGGATGCATCGTCCTCCTTCAGGATCATTACTCCTTATGGACCGACCCTTTCTCAAATTGTCAGTTGGCCAGGGAACAAATAACTGTCTTTACTTACAGCACAGGGAAAGAAGAAGTCCCTGTATGTACTGATCGATAGCATGTAGACACTTAACTCTCCTCTCCTCCAGAAGCTGCTCTGTCTGGGGTTAGCTCTGCCCTGCAGTTCCTGCCTCCCTCTTGCTACCAGGACTTATTGCTGCTTTTCCCATCCCCAGTCCTGAAGGAACTGTAAGGATTGCCCCCAGTAAGTCAGCATATTATTTTTGCTTTTTCTGTCTAAACAATGAATGTAATTAATATTTAATATATACTATCTAAAATTCTTTTTAATGTTTTTTAAAACTCTTTGAACTTTTCATTAACTCCCTTGGAAGCTGCAATATATAGTTTGAGAAACATTGCTCCAGAAAGAGACATACATTTTTTTAAAAAAATAAGCAAAACCAATAGAAAACTTTAAGTGATAATATCTTCATACAGTATCTGCGTCAGTAAAAAGATTTTACTGCTAATATATTTTTCATATTGGATCAAGGTTATGACAATTTATTGAACAGAATGTTTGCAATAAAATAAGCTTTTTATAAGACCAGTCATGACATGAAGTAAAGTAATACTATAACTAATTCATACTCTGTAGGAAAACCCAGGCAGAATCCATTTAACAGTGCTGCAAAGAATGCCCAGTTCCCACGTAGTTAAAAGACTATTAAGCAACCGAAGAGCAAAGACGTTAGTATTTTATTCAAATTTAATGATTAAAAAGTGTAAGGTCATTAATTCTAATAATAAATGATGAAAATAGAATATACTTTTGTCTCTAGATGAAGGAAGGAGGCAATATAAACAAATAAGGAAAAATCCTAAATAAAAATAATAAAAGCAGCATTTTCTCTCAAACCAAGGACTCTCTTGTTGCTGTTCCTGTTGCTTCTTAGGAGGCTGAAACCCTGAAATATATCATGGTGGAGATATGATGCATATCTAATCCAAAATAAAGTCTGTTAAAAAAACTACAGATACTGAGCTGTTGGTGATTTTATAACGGTACAATTTAATCCCATACAAAACAGTACAGTGAACTATTTTAAATATACAAAAGGTGACATTTAAATAAGCTTGGTGAAGAGTGTGACAGAGTGTTTAAGAGGAGTCAAAAGGTTTTTTTTCCAAGTCAAAACACAAGACGTGGCTGGCAACCTCACTGACATCAGTAAGAGCCTCTTCACTGATATTGGCAGGGTGTAGTCCAAATTAGCTGAAGCATGGCAACATGTTGCTCTACCACTCCTCTTCTGTATTGTAAAGAAACCGGATGAAGAGTCTTCTGCTCTGTAGCCAAAGTCCAGTTTCTTTTGACTAATCAACAAAGCATTTTCCAGAAGGCAAAGGAGGGCTTTGCAGCTAGCTTCTTGCTCGCATGACGACAGAGACTTACATAAGATTTCACATGCTCCGAGAATCTTCTATATCGAACCTTCCACCCTTGTTCAAAGAGCCCTTCAGGAAGCCTCCCTTTGAAACCTCCCCAAAATAACACAAAGTGGAATGGAGAAAGAAAACAGACAATCTAGGGTAGAGGATGTTTATTTAAGTTAGGTTTTGACTCAGGTAAAAATTTGGAGAGTTCAAAGATAATTAAGTCACCTCTATGTCAAGTAAGAAAAATAAAAAAAATTAAAGGTTAAATTTATTTGGTCTGTTCACCATATTCAGTAGCAGTCAGAAATACAAACATTGCAATCTGAAATATCATTCTAGGCTTTCACCCCATGGATCAGAGTATCAGAAAAAGTAACTGAAAGGCAAATTTAGTAAAATTTGTCTTGCAGGCATAACATCTTAATATTTATGGTACAATACCATATTAATGAATACCTTCAATTGCAAAGGCAACCACAAAATTCCCCAAGGCCACAGCTGCCTAATTCTAATGTTACAAAAGTAGTAACAAAAAACACAGGCTGAAAAATCCCTTGACTTCACAAACTCTGACATGATTCCAGAATGCGTCAAGGGAGAACTTTGATTATCTGCAAGAAGTTGGATACTGATGGGTATTAAAACAGACAATCATCAAGCACTTCCTTTAATCAGGACACAAGGGAAAAAAGAAGAATATTTTTCTTTCTGCACTGATTGACCTTAGAGTTGGAATTAATGCACTTGTAAATACAAACTCATTATGTAATGGGTATAGCCATAGGATAATTGTATTATTTTATTGTACATCCAGCCATTCAATATCAGTTTCAGACTGCTACACAGGCTGCATAATTCTTCTTCTTCTTTCTTTCCCCTAACCTTTCATATTTATTCTAATGATAATAATATTTGTTAAAAGAATGAACATACCACATTTCTACTAAAAGGAAAAAAAACCCAAATAATTAACCAATAATTATGTAGACTGCATTTAACTCGTAATTCATGGCAAGACTGTGATGTGAAGGCAGAGCTGGTACAAAGCAAGCCACTGAACATCCTGAGAAGTATTTATGCCAATTAGTAATCAGTTAGTATCTGAACGATCTAAAAGTGTTTTCCACACAGCGTTTTCCACTTATGGCTTTCACAAGGCTAATCTAGATCTCTAACGGTGAACAGCAAGCTCTTAAAAATTTTCTTATCAGAATGCATAACGCAATTACCACGATGCCCTGTCACTCACACACCAAACTGCTTGATACACTGATAGTACTTGCGTAGTGCCTCAACTGGAAGACTCATCTAGCACTTTCCCAACTTGCACGCATACTTAGTATCTCTCCATTAAGTTTAGTTTTTCATGTAGCTGCAAATGGCAAACTTCATGTTCTCACATACAACTATTGACTAAACAAGCAGAATGCAATTTAGCAATAATGTCTCAACATTATTCACTTTCAGCTAAAATTAAGTTTTGAAGGATCTCAATTAAAACATCCCAATGTAAAGCTTAATGTAAACGTGTCTCAATTTAATTCACTGCAATATTTACCTTCTACATTCACTGCAACAGCTGTAAAATATATTCATTGGTAGAGTGCATACAAAAACTGTCTCTGCTTTTGTGTCAGCCTCCTTACATTAGGGCAAGCTTCCACCTTCCTATCTCACTCATTGCAATTTGATTAGGATGTAATACCGCGTTTTTCCTCTGTTCATTCCATTTGCAGAACCAAAAAAACCACAGCAGCCAGTTCGCAGATCCTAATTCCCATTTTATCAGAATTTCATCTCCATATCTTATTCTAGAGTCTTTTGAATTTTTGCTCATATTTTGTACTTTAACAGAATTATTACTGAGTCATAATTTCCTTATAGCTCGTGTCTGTTGAATAATGCATATGGTTCAATTAACTTAGCTCTGAGATGACAGCACAGCTATAACATTCTCAATTATTTCACGACATCCTGATATAGGAAAACAAGTTATCATAATTTCCCCAGCTTCCAAAGGTGAAGGAAGTACTGTTTTTTCTTATGTTTTTGGTTTTTTTTTTCCAATTTGTTATCACTTTCCCCCTCTCTCACACTACCTCTCAAGCTCCTATTAAAGAAGAGTGCCCTTACATGAATCAGGAACATAAGAAACTTCAAAACAGTCATAGGGCAAACTGCAATTGAAAACCATACAGCTTTTCTGAAGATTTTTTTTTTTCAGAAATTTTTGAAGTAAATTCAGTTAAATAAACATAATTTCTTCATATTTTTAATAGCTATAAAATTACACTGCACTCTGACTGCTTTTGCTGCTTTTTATTACTCAAACATACAGTACTGATTTCATGCTTAGGCTACATTTAAACTTTAACATCAGCTGATTTTAACATCTGTTCACCTCTGATCTGCATAAATTAACAACAGAAATCTTCACATTATGCAGCTTCTGAAGTTTGTCTTCACTTCATCCTGGAGCTTTTTCGACACTCAGTCTACTTAAGAAAACTGTTGTTTCTCACACTAAAATCACAAATTACAACAGACACACATACGCATACTTCACACATAAGTGTTGAATAAGGTTCTGGCCTTTTCCTGGTGTCATGTTTTATAAAATGAGAACAATATCATCATGATACCAGAACTACGTCTCTAATGTTTTACAGTACCTTTATTTGTACTCATATTAGCCTCAAAAATATTTATATTTTCTATGCTATCAGCAAAACACCCACACTAAAACCAATACTCGCATAATCCCCCTTCTCCAAACTTGTTAAGACTAACAGAAAACCTCCATCTAGGGTCAGTCTCATCTTATCTAATACAGATAATCTACATTCGAGCTAGCTGTCCAGACTCATCAAAATGGAGAGAAAGAGGCATGAGCAGGGTCCAATCCGGCTCATCCTAAGGCAGAGCAGGCTAAAATAGGCCAAGATGAATGAATCAGTAACTGTTACATATGTCTGCTAGCCAAAGGGAGTGAAAATGAGAAACCTGAATGATATATAGACATGTACATAGCAGCCATCTAAAGTTAGATCAGTTGAACAACGTCCTACCATCTTTATTGAACTAAGGATGACAAGATGTAAATCAGAGCCAAATAAAACACACTAAAAGATGACTGGATTTTTGCTGATGGAAATGAGTGTGGAGTTTCAAACAGGCCCACAACTTTAGCTCATGACTGCATTCACTGTAAAAGGTCAACAGGAATCCTCACTTTCACACTGGACTTAGTTTAAATGGTGGAAATTGGTTTCTATCCAATTTCTTCCCAGTCTTTTGGAGTACCCTGTCTTGAATTCATTGCTTATTTGTTATTGTCTGCATCAATGGCCCATGTCAGAAACTTCTGTTGTGGGGTCCTCAGTATAATTATTCTAGTGACAAATGATAAAGTGAAGCAAAAAGAAATATTGAGGAGAATGACCCAATTCACCCAAAGAAATACCAAACTCACCCAAAGAGGATTTAGATTGAAAGCATTTGACATCATTTAAGCAGTTATGTGCATTTTTCATTTGTATTTATATTCTCGCTAAAGCTATAATAAAAGTGCAGCCTTTAAGTATGGACATTCATACAACTACATTATGCATACAGATTTGCAATTCTATGTTTAGACACTAGTAAGATATTTTTGGTTGAAAGTTTTTTGTCACATGTCTAGTCAGTACTTTGTATCTGAAAGACCAAGACAGCTCAATCATTTAAAAACTTACTTAGTTTCAAAGACAATGATGCATTTAACAATTATAAAGTAATTTTTTATATATATATACACATATTCGAAATAAGATCTTCATGGAATTAGTTCTTTTTACGAATCTCTTAATATTTTAAATGGCAAAGACCACAGCTACTGGCAGTGGCATTTCCATATCTCATTTTCCTTTTGCCCAATCTTTGCAGAAGTCTTTTCTCTCTCAAATGTACTCAATTTTAAATTAGACTTTTTATTGTGATAATAAAAATGTCTCAAAGAATGCATTCTTTATTCAATGAAAATAAATTTCTAAACATTGTTCTATCTGAACTAAAAGGAAAAAAAGGATTCTTTGTTAGTTCCATCTGTTGGTTACATGTTTTCTTCAATCTAGACATAACTTTTATTTCCTAGAGTAATCCATCACAGGGACATTTTATAGTGAAATACGAAAGTTTTAATGAAACCATTCCATGGTTTTCAGCACATTGCAGGCTTACTAAAATTAAAGACCCAGCCGGACATCCTGAACTACACCACCTTCTGTGCAAGGCTTCAATCTTAAGGACAACTCTGATGTGAATAGGACTTTTTTTACATGAGGAAATTTTGATGGTCAAGTGATTTATTGAATAAAATCACTTAATAAATTTCCCTGTAACTCCATGATAGATCAAACTGAGAATTCAAGATCTTTTCCTCCTCTCTTTCTTTGAGGTTATACTGCACTGAGAACTTAACAAGAAATCAAACTAAAATTCATCAGTTTCTGAAATATGTTTGTTTCCCTCTGGCTAGAAAAGTTATCTGGGGCTACTTTTCTACATTGTAAAACACTGGGATGATTACTTCTTAAATTTTAAAAAGTTCTAATAACAGGTTTAATTTCAATCGAGCCTATGAGAACAAACTGCAGATAAATCATTTCAGAAACAATTCTTCAAAATATACAAGAGTAAATCCATATGCTGCTGAGATGAAGCACAATAAAGCATCACTGAGATAATCTATAATTAAAATGATGGTGTATGACTTATGATTAAGCTTCATTACCTGCAGAGCAAGGGGCTTCCATCTCATATTTTTCAGTAAAGCTGGTGCTGAGGTAAGCATGCTCTGAGGTCGCTTTTTCAAAGTTAAGATAACACCACTCGGATCCTCTCGTAGTGCATTCACCAAATTTTTCAACTGCCACCCCACCTGGTAACCAGTAAAATTATTACAATAAAATTGAGGTACAGTATTCAATATGTAATGTTCCCTTTTTAAATAAGATTAGTAAAATAACATAATAGGAGTGTGTATATATATATTAAAGGAAAATAACTCTAGAAATGTAAAAAATAAATTACTGCATAAAAATCAAGTCAACTAAAATAATTATTATAATGCATTAAGATGGATATGCATAATTTCAGGTTTTAGAATTAATAAACTACTGTTACACCACTGTAAACGCACAATTAAATCTCAAAGTGTTTTCAAAACTAGCTCTGGTACGTAGACTTTAGAGACTAGATGGTTAAAAAGTCTTGACTTGTGGCCCAACAGTTCAATTCAAAACTGAGCATTTTATAGTCCATGGTTACTATTTAAAGCCCACTAACCACATGTAGTCATACTACTTCTACTCCTAGCAGCTTATGCAAGCACAAATCAGTTCAGGAAAATCTTCTACTCTTCACACTGCTATAAAAATAAAATCAGAATCACAAGGCCTTTTTTTTAAATAGCACTTCTTTCATGATGATTTCAGAAACAAATACAGTAAATTAATGACAGAAATGTAGTCTAGCCACTACTTGAGTATTAACTTAAATTAAAATTTTCCTAATTTAATTATAGCATTTTAAAATATTCTAAAATTAAGAACTTGACTAACATGGAAAGTAACAAGTCTTTTTTTTATGAACAAAGGATAGAACTTTGAGAATCATTTACTTTGCATTTTTGAAAAAAATACTTCAAATATTAATGCAATACAACTCATGACAATGGTTTTCAGTCTAAATAATGCCTGATTTGCTATCTATCTCAAAATACTTTAAGATATTAAATTCCTGAGTTTTCTAGTTTGGCATCTAGAATGGCAATACATAGTCTCATATGTCCCTTGAAAATCTTGCCCTACAGATTTCAAAAGTGATTATTTCTGTAAACTTGACAGCTCTTCTACCTTTTTCTCTCTCTCCCTCCCTAAGCAAACAAGTAAATTTTCCTGACATTTAAAGGATCAGTTACAAATATTTTCCTGCTTTCACAACTTGGACAGGAACAATGTTAAGAAAATTATCCAATTGAGAAGTGAAATTCTTACTGAAAAAAGATCTATAACTCTGAAGTGATAAGTTAACATCATTGTAAAAAGTTTTTTTATATAATGTTAATATATTAAAAAAATCAAAAAGGCAATGTGAACAAAGGAAATGCTTATGTTCTTTAACATCAGTATAGTGCAACATGACACAAATATGTATGTCATCTATTTTTAAGCAAGGTAATCATACGTAGGTTGTCACTACTTATTTTTCACCTCAAAACTCACTTTGTTTGCTTAATATCACTTATTTTAAGAGCTGATATTCCCATGAGCATGCCACTTTAGCCAACACTAATGCTTACAAACAACTCAACCACAGACATGGTTCAAACCTCATCACTCTTCCTCAGCTACTGTGAACCTATCTGTCCTGTTTTCACCACAGCAAAGTTCATTACATTCAGGATGTACTTCTACAGTAATATTATTGTAAATCAAGAAACAGGGTGCTGACAACATGCATCTTTATGGAATATTTGCCAGCTTCCATAGAAGACTTCCAAGCATGCTAAAATTCTTATTTTCAGTCCAATGTACTAGGCATATGGCTTTTACACTTTGAATAAAATGAAACACGAATGTAATCAACTTCAGCTCAATTCCCACATCCTGGTGACATCTCCATTCTGTTTCAAACATATCTAAACCAAGTCTCTGTAAGTCCAAGCTTTGTGTCTTAATATCACAATTTTATAAAAAAATACCTTGCCATTTACAATACTTTTTTCCTACTCGGAGAGCCTTCCACCACTGCTTAGAAACAATATATTCCCTGTATTTCCAGAACATGACCTTGGGAATATGCAAGGCGTCATTTGCTGCCCAAAAGAAGGAATTAAAGGCCTACAGTTCATGTAAGGTATCCCTGTACATAAGCTACTGTACATTTTAATTCCCTAATGAAACAACTGAAGACAGATTTCTGGAAAGGAATCGTTCTGCTGAATAAAGCAGCACAGCACGCCTAGAGAAGTACATGATGTGGTCCCAGTTATGGAGTCAGGATGCAGAATTCTTGCCATTTAAGTTGGTAGCACACTGCATATGAAAGCTGTGCTTTAAAGCCATCTGTTTCTCACTGAAATCGCCAGAGGAATATAAATAAAATTGGAGGGTTTTGGTTATGCTAGCAGTTCAAAAATTATTTTAAATGCACTTTCATACTTTAAAGAGATAAACTGTTGCATGTATTTCACCTATGCCTTACATTGCAATAAATAAGAGATTATCTAGTCTCTTTATAAGAGTTAGGGGGAGCAAAGAAAAAAATCACTTCAAAGCACTAAACCTGATGTATTTAATTTAGAAGCTCATGAATATAAACAATTTAACTTAATTTTTCACATGAAAATTCTGAGTTTACTATGAATTTCAAATGAAGTTCATCCTTTGCTTTTATTTAGTTCCCGGACAGGAGTTTTCTGGCTAGTTCAGGAAGTCCTTGGTTGTTTCTCATCTTTTGAACAGAAATGACTAAATTGGTCTAAGAGGAACAAGTCACATAAAAGGCTGTCACCAAAAAATTGAAGGAAATTGATGTCTACGTAGGAGGCATGCTTTTCAGTTCTCACATAGTTTAGATCCCATCAAAATTCATGTTGACACACACTAAACAGAAGCAATCTTATTTGAGGAGGTCAGGTTGGGAAGAGGAAAAAGCAACAAGTGTATCTGGAACTGAAAACTGTTTTCCAGAAATCACTTTAGTGACATGCAATCTACACTTTAAGTGTGATTTGAATTTGTTCTCTCTAATCTCTCCTCAGGATCTTCACCTTTTCATTACCACCACAGTTACCAACTCTCAACTTCTAATCATCAAGCTTTTGGGGTAGAGCTTTCAAAGTCCCTACCATGCCCCTTATCCTGTCCATGCAGTGCAAAACTGGACAGTAATAAGAAAGTTTCATTACCGGTTTGAGAGTTCAGTAGATAAGCAAAAGGACTATATTAGCAGACAACTTTACTTACATTGAAACAATCTGAGCAATTAATTTTTAAATCAGCGCACTATACTGACCAGGTATCCATTTTTGAGGGCCAAGCGAGTCACTGTCGCTCGCTTTACAACAAACGTACATCGTTAAACCCAGTGCCACCAACAAGCTGTGGTCAGGAGAGGTCTCTGCAGTGGCAGCCTGGGCCCCATGTTGGGTTCTGCTGCACAGCACCCAAAGCGCAGCTCATGGCAGAGCGCAGAGAGGGCAGAGAGCTGGCGAGGGCAGCCTGGGCATCAGGCAGGAGCACCAGACAGCCCGTCCCTGCCTCAGTCTTTAATAGTAAGGTTAGTAGTTCCCAGGTGAGCTGCCCTTGGGTGTCTGAGAGCAGGGAGGGAGAGCAAAT